GTTATTGTTCATTAATTTTGCAATCGGGTCTCGTTATCGCGTCGTTATCCTCAACCTCAAGACTGTTAGGTGAATAATGAGAAGCTCAATTTCAGAGCTTTAATGGCGATTTCTTCAGCTTCATTGATTTTATCATTCTCTCAATCAGAAACTATCCCTAAGACTTCGAAAATCATCAATTTAAATCCACCAAACCCGATTCTTCTGATTTCGAAATGCATTTCTCTAAAAGAGCTAATGCAAATTCAAGCTTACGCGATCAAATCCCATCTCCATAAAGATGTTTCATTCATCACTAAACTGATAAATTTCTGTACGGAGTCTCCTTCGACGTCTTCGATGTTATACGCACGCAACCTGTTCGACGCAATGTCTGAACCAGATATAGTGGTTTTTAATTCAATGGCTCGTGGGTATTCTCGCTCCACGACTCCTCTTGAGGCGTTTACACTCTTCGTTGAGGTCTTAGAAGATGATTTTTTACCTGATGATTACACTTTTCCTTCTCTTCTCAAAGCTTGTGCAGTAGCAAAGGCGTTAGAAGAAGGTAGACAATTGCATTGTCTCTCGATGAAACTAGGGTTTGATGATAATGTATATGTTTGTCCTACGCTTATCAATATGTACACTGAGTGTGAAGATGTGGATGCTGCTCGATGCATCTTTGATTGGATTTTTGAGCCGTGTGTTGTTTCTTACAACGCTATGATCACGGGTTATGCGAGAGGAAACAGACCGACCGAGGCGTTGTCATTGTTTAGGGAAATGCAAGGTAAGAACTTGAAGCCGAATGAGATTACTCTCCTTAGTGTTCTGTCATCTTGTGCTCTGTTGGGATCGTTAGATTTAGGGAAATGGATACATGAGTATGCTAAGAAACACGGTTTCTGTAAGTATGTGAAAGTAAACACAGCTTTGATCGATATGTTTGCGAAGTGCGGTAGCTTGGATGATGCCGTGTCTCTGTTTGAAAAGATGAGGCAAAAGGATACACAAGCTTGGTCAGCTATGATTGTAGCTTATGCGAATCATGGACAAGCTGAGAAATCTATGTTAATGTTTGAGAGAATGAAGTCTGAAAATGTACAGCCTGATGAGATCACATTTCTCGGTCTTTTAAACGCTTGCAGCCACACAGGTCTTGTGGAAGAAGGGCGCAAGTATTTCTCACGGATGGTTAACGAATACGGGATTGTTCCGAGTATTAAGCATTATGGTTCTATGGTTGATCTTCTTGGTAGAGCTGGACGTTTAGATGATGCATTTGGATTCATTGACAAGCTCCCGATAAGCCCTACACCGATGTTATGGAGGATTCTCTTATCTGCTTGTAGCAGCCATAATAATTTGGAGCTAGCTGAAAAGGTTAGCAAAAGGATCTTTGAGCTAGATGACTCACACGGTGGTGATTATGTGATCTTGTCAAATCTATACGCAAGAAACAATAAATGGGAAGACGTAGATTCTCTAAGAAAGTCAATGAAGGATCAAAGGGCGGTTAAAGTTCCAGGGTGCAGCTCGATAGAGGTAAACAATGTGGTTCATGAGTTTTTCTCAGGGGATGGTGTGAAGTCTGTAACTACAAAGCTTCGCAGGGCATTAGATGAAATGGTGAAAGAGCTAAAGCTTGCAGGGTATGTTCCTGATACATCACTTGTGGTTCACGCCGATATGAGTGATCAAGAGAAGGAGATTACGCTTAGGTATCACAGCGAAAAGCTTGCGATTGCGTTTGGATTGTTGAATACTCCTCCAGGGAAGACGATTCGGGTTGTGAAGAATCTTAGGGTCTGTAGAGATTGTCACAATGCAGCTAAGTTGATCTCTCACATATTTGGTAGGAAAGTTGTTCTTAGAGATGTTCAAAGGTTTCATCATTTCGAAGATGGTAAATGTTCTTGTGGGGATTTTTGGTGACTTCATCCACAGAAAGAAGATAATTTTCCTAAATACAAAAC